TGTTGATTAAGAGTCGCACAGCCAATAGACTGAAAGAAACCCACAACCTGTCTAGAGATGTATGGTAAACGTTTGATTGGGGGAAAATGGCCATAAGGAAACTAAACAAAACGGAAAGAGAAAGAAGATGATAAAAGTTATGTCTGTTCATAAGTGTAAACGCTACTACAAATTCGTGATCTTTAAGGAAAGCTGGTAGAATCCTTTCTTCAACACTCTTTACCAACGTAACGAACTTGTAATAGTTTGTGAGTACGGTTGAGTCCCGTTCGTAGAATTCTACGTTAAAGGCCGTCTGTACTTGTTTGGCTAGGAGGGATTAGACCACCCAGGGTGGTTACTGACAGGTGGCTATCTCATCAACTCAGTTCTCAATTAACATAAGAAAAAGAGGATCATGGGGGACCAATGGTCACCGATTGGGCACTGTTTTCTATATAGAGGGAGCATGTAGATACAAGTAGTACAGTGGGGCGTTAAAATAAAGTGAAGTGACCTGATGTGTTTCGTACGGTGTTAGTTCCTTTAGAAATGACTTAGTTGAACATGAAATGGAGAAATTACGTGGGAATGAAATGGTAAGTAAAATAAATCCAAGTGAGAAAGAGAGCGGGCATAGCGCGTGTGAGGGGGAGAAGGAAACGATATATATGTTAGAAGACTAGAGCCGTACATGCTTCATTTCATATGTTACCAAATCAACCCCTCGATGATCTATGGCACCATTAAAAGTATGGAAATTATCATCCCATGCTGACGTTCGGAATTCTATGTATGAAAGCGACCGCTCAACAAATTGAGCTCAACTGTGCACTTTGGGGAGAGATCGGTTCGCCCTCTATTGACAAGTGCGTGAAAGTGTGCATACAGATCAGTGAGATGGCGTCCTTTCAACCGGTTGATACAAACATGTAAAAGTATCATTATTCGGAGGGGAGGGGAGCTCTTTTACTAACTGTATAATGTTAGCCCTGTCGGCAGGTGCACATCCAGGGAGGGGGGGGGGGGGGATAAAAGGACAAAGATGACGTCCTTTCAACCGGTTGATACATGCTAATGTAACATAAATCGGGGAGGGGGGTTGTGGTTGGGAGGGGGGAGGGGCTCTTTTATAAACCTTATGATGTCAGCCCTGCCGTCTGCAGTTGCACATCCAGGGGGGGGGGGGGGGCAGATAAAAGGAAAAGTAATAGAGGAAAAAGAAGGTCATAAGATATGCTGTGCGTTGTTAGCACAACATTTTCCGGGCTTGTGGGAAGCTGCCCTGGATAGGTTGTTGCGTTAGAATTGCATACTACCCTAAATCCCCCACCCCACACCCTTCAAAAGCCTCACTACCTGTAATACAAATAATCGATTAATTTTGAAGATCGAGATTGATTGATCTTCATGACTGTCTCATCGTCGTATTTGGTTTCCGTGTCTCGTGAGGGTATGAGTAATCGTCGTCCGTCCGTGATCTCGCATAATCTTGTCGAACTCGTGATTGAGACACGGACAAGAGGACGTCAAGTGCATGCAAAATCTGCACCCTCTCTCTTTCTTTCTTTCTTTCCCGTCTTCCCGCTTCTCATCTCTGTATATTTCTGTGCCTTTCTCTCTCTGTCCTCCCCTCTTTTGTTCCCTTCTCTCCTCCTCCCCCTCTCTCTCTCTCTCTCTCTCCAGTACATGACGTCTGACTGTCTGTCTTTCACCTTATCCCCTTTCTATATTTCTGTTTGTTTTCCTCATGTCTATCTCTCTGTCTCTTTCTCCTTTTCCCGCTTCCCCTTTCTCATCCCTTCATCTTTTCGTGCCTGTATCTCTGTTTATCTCTCTGTCTATCTCTCTCTCCAATAACTGTCTGTCTGTCTCTCTCTCTCACCTTATCCCCTTTGTATCTCTCTGTTTATTTGCCTCATTTCTATCTCTCTCTTTCTCCCCTCTCTCTGTCTCTTTCTCCTTTTCCCACTTCCCCTTTCTCATCCCTTCATCTTTCTGTGCCTGTCTCTCTGTCTATCTCTCTCCTACCCCTCTTTTTTCTCTCTCTCCAGTAACTGTCTGTCTGTCTCTTACCTTATCCCCTTTCTATCTCTCTGTTTGTCTGCCTCATGTCTTTCTCTCTCTCTCTCTCTCCTTCTCCCCTCTCTCTGTCTGTCTCTCCTTTTCCCGCTTCCCCTTTCCCATCCCTTCATCTTATCCTATATGTATCTCTGTCTATCTCTCTCTCTCTCTCTCTCTCTCCAGTAACTGTCTGTCTGTCTCTCTCTCTCTCACCTTATCCCCTTTGTATCTCTCTGTTTATTTGCCTCATGTCTATCTCTCTCTTTCTCCCCTCTCTCTGTCTGTCTCTCCTTTTCCCGCTTCTCCTTTCCCATCCCTTCATCTTATCCTATATGTATCTCTGTCTATCTCTCTCTCTCTCTCTCTCCAGTAACTGTCTGTCTGTCTCTCTCTCACCTTTTCCCGTTTCTATCTCTCTGTTTGTCTGCCTCATGTCTATCTCTCTCTCCTTCTCACTCTCTCTGTCTCTTTCTCCTTTTAAAAGTAATTTTAGCTGTCTGTCTCTTCACCCTTTCTATCGTTGTGTCTCTCTCTTTCTCTCTCCGATTACCCTCTCTCAGTCTCTTTCTCCATGACGAAGGGGGAGTAGGAGGAGAGGGGGAGAGGGATAGGGAGCAGGAAGAGAGGTGGAGGAGGAGGAGTAGGAGGAGGAGGAGAGTGTAATGGAGAGGAGGGCTAGGGAACTTGGCATTTTCAATCTGACACGATAGTTTTTTTTTCTCCAAGCGATCGCCTGTTCTCACCCGACACTGCATGGCAATTTTAGGCCGGCAACTGCAACAAATACAAGAAAAGGAACAATTTTCTGCCCCCCCCCCCCCCCCGCAAGAAACTCGGGTCCCCTCATCGCGTCTCGCTTAATAATACACTGGTCATGGATAACCGTATTAATATTAGCAAATGTTAACCACTGATGGATGAGATACGGCATACAGATGACTAGAATTAATTGAAAATAAATATAAATTGATACATCGATCATCGGAGGTTAATCACAGCAGGGGGGGGGGGGGGGGGGTAGCAATATTGGATTTAACGGGATATTACTCTATCTATATAAACCCTTGCCACCATGCATAGAATACAGACACTACAACCGTTAATGTTTCTTTACAGCGAGATTAATCTCTTTAAAGCATTCGTAAGCTCAAATAATTATTGAGTTATAGGTCCATGGTAGAAGCGAGTTTAATCGGTAAACGTTTTTCGTAACGTATTCCTAACAAGTGAATTAAATCTCTATAAACCCCAAAACTTGTGTAATCTTTTTCCAGCGAGTCAAATCGCCTGTGATATTTCATCACAGTGAGTTTAATCTCTATAATGAAGCTTGCTTTTATATACATGATCTTTTCGGCGAGTGTTAACGCTTGCATACAAAAAGGACAATAATAGGCAGATGATTTCAGCATTTAGGGAGTGAATACCAATACAGTGTCACGTGATAATGGATGGAATGGGTTTGGAGTGGGATAAAAACGATTATCTGTAATAGGCTTTTATCACAATATTGTTCGAGTTTTGCAACCTTCTACTTGTCCCGAATACCAGCCCTAAAGCCGGATCACACATAGGTAAAGACACATTTTGTTGTGACGCATTTGAAAGGGTCTTCTTCTCACTCATTGACTGAGTTTTTTTCCCTAAAAAAGCAACCTGCCTTTAAGGTTCATTTTAAATACACTGTTACCCATAAAGTTGGAATAATATTTTCTTACTCCTTTTCATGAAATGATTGATGAAATTATGCTGTTTGTCCCTCTGCTCACTATCTTGGAATTGCATATGTATTAATGACGATGATAATGAATGTCAAATGGTGCTGACGGCAAATGGCGCTCACGACACCGATGATAGTGGAGGATAGACGGGGAGGGGGACACAAGTTCGAAAAAATAATTGACAGCCCCCCCCCCCCCCTCTAAAAAAAAAGCTATCACATTTTCAAGTGCAAAGTTTTGAAGGGATTGGGTAACTTTGCCTTAGATTGTAAACAAAATCCTGGATTTAGCTCATGCTGCAATCACAAGTATAAACCTGTAGGTCAGTCAGGAATCCCATGACTTTTAGAAGCCGATCGCCTGTCTCATTATCACATGATTGGGATTCGAACTTAAAAAACCGTATTCCTAACGTTTTTTGTTTATTTATAAAACTACAGTCTATGAGGGGAAATGCGTATATGGTAAAACCGATCACTCTAAGGATTTTACTTTTTTTGAAGCATTTCATGATCATCTTGAAGCTCAATTCTTTTAGGACACTGATAACACGTAGGGCCATGCATAAAACGGGAAACATTGTTAAACTATTATGCTTGGAAGCAAAACAAACACAGAATTGTGCATATCATTTATCTCTTATTTATGAAAGGATATATATCACTGGGGACACATAGCGACTGTTATACAAAAACGAAACCAAGACCTTTTCAATTTGCTAAATAATATTGGACTATTTCTGGTTCTGGCAGCGGCATGAGGAAAGGCTAGTATAAACACCAATCTCACAACTGAGCAGACCCCATCTAGCGCGCGCATAATAATATACCCGTGCTGTTTCATTGATCACAAAGTATGTAAACACAAACTAGCGCAGCTCACATTGTACAGCGCTGCACACGTGTGCTCCACAGACCATACACTGAATGCACGCAGTCCCAATGCTGATATGGTTCTGTCTCGTCCTCTTTCTCAGTTGGGTTCAGTGTTGACATTTCGCAGGCTGGGGTGAAGGCGTGAAAGAGCCAGCGAGAGGGAAGTCGTCGGTGGTAGAAATCATACATGCTTGGGTTCTGCGTGGCTCACTCACTCTATTCTGCGGGTAAACCACAACGCGAGTTGCGCAACTTCTCAAGACGGTGTGAGGATATAAAGGATTTATGTAGCTTTTCGTAAGAATTGTGAGCTGTGTGAGGTGGAGTTGGTTGGAGGTGGTATTGCTGGAGTCGGGGCACCATGGGCCAGCGACAGACACGCCAGAAAGTGGACAAGGGCTTGAAATTGTACCATGCCAGGAAAACGGAGCAGGCTGTTCACGAGTGGAAGAGGGTTTTGTCGAAGGTGAAAGAACAGCGGTTGCGGTTTGAGGTGCTCGGGCACCTGGCACAGGTGTACGGAGAATGGGGCTTCGCTCGGGAGAAGATGCACTATGCCGTCCAACAGATGGACATCGCTTCCGATCTGGAGAGCGACGAACTCAAATCGGAGTCCTATCTAAACTTGGCGATTTCGAATGAAAGATTATGCGAGTACCACAAGTCGCTGTCGTACGCCAGACACAGCCTGGCCACCGCCATGAGCTCGGGTGTAGGGTCCTCCAAGTTGGGCTACGTCTACCTGGCGCTTGCTGCGTCCAACCTGGGATTCAGCAGTTTCAAAGACTCCTTGGAAAACTTGGAGAAAGCCGTGAAGATGGCCATCGAAGCCGAGGACCAGATGCTGGAGTGCGAGGCTTATGGGTGTTTAGGGAATGTATACAAATGTCTCAAGGATTACGACAGGGCTTTAAAGTTCTATGTGAGGGCCAGGGAGCTCATTAGGTGCAGGGGGCAGGACTGGCCCCCTAGGTTGAAGACACAAGCCTATTTGAACATGGCTACGGCCTACAGGAGTATGAGGAAACTGGACATGGCCATGGACTGCGGTGAGGTGAGTGCATAACATAGTGTGATAAGTGAGAATGGGGGGAGGGGGGCGTCCATCCAGTGAGGTTGTCTGGGCCTGAGGAGGTGGGAGGGGGGGGGGGGGGGCAACTAATCTAAGATGCACCCCAGGGTCGACGACCCGGCAGAATGGTTCAAGCGCGGCATCTATTGGAATGGTACTGATGAAGATGACAATTGTGATGATGATATTGATCATGATGATGATGATGATGATAAAGATGATGAATTGATGAGGAGGAGGAAGATGATGACAATGGTGCTTATAAGTATGCTCATCAAAAATATATATATATTCCTTGATTTTCTTTTCGTAGACTCTACCTTCTTTCACCCCAATTTTGCGGAAATATTCTGACCGTTATTGCTACCAACTCATCCACGACAATTTGTTTTCAAGTCAACCATTCGATTTTGGCACATCAAAAACACCTTCATCGCACAAAATAACAGATACCACAACCGCCACCAACACCACTACCATCATCATTATCTCTGTAGTTACCATACAAACATCACCAATGCAATGCCGGTACCGACCCCTGCTCCTTTCACCTTTCTCTAGCTCTCATATCATTACTTTCAACTCAACTACCACCACCACCATCACCACCACAAGTTCACAGCTATCTAAATGATTTCAAATCCACCATTGATCTTTGATTTACACATAATTATTATCTTGTAATAATTGATTCAAGATGAATCGTCTCTTATACTGCATTATAATGGTACAGTCATCAACTAATTTTCAGCCAAATATTCGAGTGATCATTTACTTTAAGTTTGCATAATGATCGACGTTTTGTTTCCAAAGCTTTATACTTGTATGAAAGTGTGATTTTGATTTTTAATGATTATGTCCTATAACTTTCTATCAATTTCCTTTTTTGTTTTAATCGATGACCCTATATACTGTATGACCATTTTTACATTGCATTCATTGTGCAATTAGTCCCTGGACTATTAGTTTGTATTGTTAATAAGCCACGTTGAATGGAATCGAATTGAGTTGATTTACCTTCTCCATCGTCACTACCACCAACATCATCATCATCATCACCATCTCTTAATCCCATACCAACCACAACTCAGTGCAATTCATCATCGGATTGTCATCTACATATCTGACAGCGGTTGACCTAGTATGATAACTCAGGCATCCCAAATGTTTTCAATTCATTCTCTCGTGACATATATCACAGGAGTACTATATAATGGGGGCACTGGGTTTCATCGTGAAAAGGGGGTGTTTAAAGAGCATTGGGGGAATCATAGTAAGCCCTGTTTCACAAAACTTGCCATCAGTGACAAATGACAGGTTTTGTTATAAGCTACTGAAATCCTTGCTTTTGATTGGTTATCAGCACATTTGTCACTGATTTTTGTCATTTTTCATTGGAAAAAAGACTTTGTGAAATGGGTCCCTGGTAACGATCAGTCGATCAAGAATAGAAGCCAACCAAACTACATCACCATATGATTGTATTGATGTATTAATGAAATGCATTTATCCAATATAATTTTGTTGAACTGCTGAGCAATGAGCGAACGAAGAACGCATTTCATGAAAAACATGGATTTACGAGAAAATCCATGGTGAAAAAGACGAATCTTTATTTACGTTTAAAGACTGATAATGCTTCTACATTTTGTGTTGAAAGCTTTTTTTCCTTCTTCATATCTCAAAATCTAATTACAAAAAATATATATCTTCACAGCAGTTCACTTTTTCCTGTGAACCAGTTGAATATCGGCGGCTTATTTTCTACTTACCCCATCAAATGTCAAAGAGTTAGAATATGTCTATTATACAGTTACATCGATTACTGCCTACGCGCCGTAATCAAATAATTTCATACCGCCCCCGCCCCCACCAACCTTGCTGGCTACGCCCGTCATGTCGTGTTGAAGAAATGGCATAGGGTTATAATGGAGTATCATTACATCGTTTAGGGTATAGTATGCACAATACAATAATGAACAATGTACAATACTACCACATCCGCCCCTTGTCACCCCTTGCTGGCTAGGGGCTACGCCCTTCAGCTGATAATGAAGTAGTTAACATGACCATGATTGATGCGCCTCATAATGAAGACGTTTGGGATGTAATTACATGTCCTCATCACCTCCCTTCGACTCCACCGATCTCATTAAAGCGCCCTATCCTACGACTACACAAACGTTCCTGGAATGCTTTTCGCACATGCCCACCCGACTTCGATGACGTATGGCTCAGTTTAATTGAAGTGACAACTGCGTTTATGAGAGCGATTATTCCCGACTTGTGGGACCTGTTCGAGTTATTGGTATGATTTGTTCCAGCTATGGCTTTGACTTTGGAGAGCGATTGGAAAAATGGGTTCCAAGAAAGAGGAAAGTTTACGAGCAGCCGTTAGATTGATTTCCTCACTTGCATATAAAGAGACATGCCAACAGTAGTCCTTGCACTCGACATAACTTGTGTGGGACCTGTTCGAGTTACTGTTATAATTTGTTCCAGCAATGACTTTGACTTTGGAGAGCGATTGGAAACATGGTGTCCAAGAAAGTAATATGATAGTTAATGAGCTATCAATCCCCCCACCCCCCTCCTTCGCACTGGCAGGGGAGTCACTTAACACTAATTATGATAGATCACATGATTTGTATGGTATAGGATGATCATAATATTCTGTGAATCTAATAACGAGATTACCTGTGTGAGCTCTTTGGTGTTTCAGCGTAATATTTTGCAGCTTGATTTTGATTCATTCCTGTCCAGTTCCAATGTTGGCCTAAGCATGTAACTGATGCATAACGAATCAGTAATTAACATAGAACAATGTAATAAATTCGTATTCCAGACAGAAAATGTTGATGAAATGCTGTTGACGAAATGACACATCTTCCATCATCGCAGATATCAATGTCACTTATCACGCCGATCATTCTAAAGTGCTCATTAAATGGATCAACCAAACAATGGATCGATTTGGGTTTTAATGTCAAAAGGTTCAACTTGAAGTGCTTAACTTTATTTGCTTTTGTATAATACGGGATAATTTTCATCATTCATGAAAATGGCAACGGCGAAAGGTTAGAAACAGATCATGACCGACCTGTATATTTCAGTATACCCGAATTCACACATTGGTTTGATACTCATTTGATTGAGAGAGCAGGGGACCGTTTTTCGAAACCGTCATAAGTCTAACTTTTTAACTATCCCATTGAAATGTGTGTTCTAGAATTAACACGCGTTTCAATGGGATAGTCAAGAAGATAGAATTATGACGGTTTCGAGTAACGGGCCCCAGTTGCGTAAGGTTAGCCTCTAGATATTTTGTTTTGGTTCATTCTGATCACGTAATAACAGGCTACGTAATTGCGGGTATAATATCATTTCAGCATGTTCAAAGCGACAATCGCAACATTTTGCAGGGTCGTGGAACTATTTCTTTCTCCTTCAAAGCAATATGGAAGGCATTTAAATGGTATAAAACTCATTTTCCCCACACATCCAAGAAAAAAAATCGTGTGAATTCGTTGAGTTGCCGTATACATCTTCGTCCTCTCAGCGAATTCGGATCGTGTGAGAATCGACACTAGCGAAAAATAATCCTTCAGTCGCGACGACTTGTGAAAAAACAATTTGCATTAGCGAAGATACGCAGGTGGTCCCCGTCTTCAGAAAGGTTATTCGAAAATGGTGGTACGATTGTTTGTGGGTGAGATTGTTACTGGTTGAGCGTCTGGGACCCACATTTCCCAGAATTGAACGGTCTGTTGACATGATGAAGAGGAATAAAGGCTGGGTTATGATTTCAATTTTATGATACGTTTTCTTAGAAAAGTATCATCCTAATTCAAAGAAAGGTTTAACAGCCATTGTTCATCTGTGATTGAATTTGGGTGCCTTCGGTCACCTAGCTTAGTATTCGAGGTAAGAAATCCAAATCATAATGTACCAGAACTAAATATTATAACACCTTGAAATCATACATGTATGTGGCGGATGGATCTTTGACCTAGCATTGTGATTGGTGCTTTTAATGCATCACGTGACATTGATAGATAATGCGATGATTGTTGTATGCTCTTCCAGATAGGTCTGACAGGTAATGCGCGCTAACTTTTTATAAAGAGCTGAGGGACATGTATTTTATTGTCCCATCTAATTGTGAAAGAATAATGTTGGTAATGGTATAACGAAATGAAATTCTAATGAAACGAATTTATTAATAAATATGTTCTTCTTTAAAGAATCTTCATAATGCGTGGAAAATCATAATTGGTTGTATGGTTAATTCGAATGTTTTGATTCGTCAAAAAGGAATAAATCCTTCGGCGAATGATAAAACTTTTCATGGTGTTACCTTACAGCAAAAGAAATCTCTTTAGTATTATTATTATTAAGGTTATGAATATAAGCACCTTATAATAACGTATACAACAAAACATTCAATATCTGTATAATGTAAAAGATTATATTCTACTTGACTGTGCACCAGGCGAGGAAAGTGCTTCTGATGGAAATCAATCAGAGAGTTGCAAACAAAAGCGGAGATGACAAGACTGTGCTTCTCATTTCACCCATCTTCCCCTCGACCTTGTCCTGGGCTGATCGTTAATTTCCGCTTGTAAATTACCGTGATCGTCGGCAGCGCGCCATGTCCCGCAGACGACAAAAAATGTTTTCTCGCGCCGGGATCACGAATTTGCCGCCAACATTGCGCGTGTTGAAAGGCGAGATCGTGTCGAGTTTCGATGGGTAATACGGCGATTACTTCTTCTCGAAATGGGGTTGTGTTACTGGTAGGTGGGTGTAGAGGGTGAGTTTCGGTGGTAGGATGAAGGGACGGGGCAAGTTACTGATGATTGTTGAACCACTCGGATGTTTGGAATGTTCAGTTCAGTATATTCATTCTCCAATTTGAAAAACAAAAGCAAAATAATGACAGAAAGAAAGAAATGTATTAACTAATAAAGAAGTGTCTTGGG